TGATGTCACGAAAGATTATTTCAGTTACACCATTTCATTGACGTGCGGAATTCCGAAGGTCACTTTAGAAGGAGAGAAGGCAGATATGGGAGAGGAGGAGTCGTTTACCGTTCACACGGTGAGAGGTTGGGGTGAGGAGAGGAACCTTGTGGTATGTACTATCATCTGATATGACCAAACCTCACTCGATCTGTCCGTGCTTCCCATAACCCTAATGGACGAGACAACATCGAGTTTGGAATAAAGTCGCTCATCCAAAAATTGTGGGGAGTGGGTCAACCTAGAATGGATTACGGACCTTTGTGTTTGAGACAAGGGCGTGCAATGACTTTGGGAACAATTGAGCTAATCTCGTTGGAATGCGTGTTCTCTTCAAACGACAATAGATTATCTGAAAACAACTCCAACTTGCGAGATGCTGTGGAATTTTTACCGGGCGGTGGATTTTCTGGTGAAGGTCTTCTTGAAAGGGGTATGGGGGAGAGAACAACGGAGGGGATCATGATGCAGTACTACCAAAGTACTGGGACATTTCTCAGGTGGTTTTCAGGAAATCATTCTTGTGTGACAATTCTGAAGATAGGAAGTCAAGCATGTACCTTTCTTGGGTAGATTTGTGTAATTTGATATGCCCGGCGGCCCCTCGAATCCGACCATCTTGGCCGACCTTAAACAGAAGAAATCTGTTATGTTTGGAACCAGGAACAGGTAGATTGTGGAAGTCAACACCTGATTTCCTTTTCGAACTTCCTCGTGGTACTACTACTTGATCTGGATGGTTGGAGTGACATTGCAAATCAAGTTGTTTTCATCTTGTGATTCTTTGCATCTCAGGAGTGTATGCAGAAAAAGGATTGACGTCGCTAGATCGTTTGTACATCAAGATGGTGAATGGTAGAATGTAATCACTGATAGCGTACCCTGGCTCGGCCCGGCGGCAGCCACATAGGTCCCAATATATCACTTCACTTGAAACTGAAACGTACTTCTGGTTTTGCTCAAGAATGCTACTTACACCGCGCGATGAGTCGTAGGTGTGGCAGTAATCTGGACACTCGAGACTACAGGAATGCCGGTTTTTTCTGGCCTGTGCGGGTTGTGTGTTGGCTTCTGTTCGTTTTGCGTCGTTTTCACACGTTGATTTTCGAATGCAGTTTTTGCAATTTATCATAGATTTGATTCAGATCTCGAGAGCGGTTTAAGCCCGCCAACTGACACCGTTCCTCATGACGATATGGAATCAACGGTTTTACACAAGTGTCATGACATACTATGTCCTTGGAAATTAACAGTTCTCCTGAATAACAAGACGGAGGACACTGTGTCCACACTAGATATGTTCCCACAAGCTGTGAGTACAGCTCCATAATAAGCTAGAATCAAACTTATTGCCAATTATTCACGAACTCGCAGGTCAAATCCTATTGAACTTTATTGCCACTGGATAATCTTTGAGTCTTCTAACGCCGTAAGTCCAAACCTTAAGATAAAGATAGAGAGATTTCCCCATACCTTTGGCTCACTGAAAGACTCCGGACCCAATCTCTCATGATGAATGATCACTAACTAGTAGTGATTCCCCTTCTCCCCGTCGGAACGAGCAGATCTTGGAGGTATAAAGGAGTCAAAATTTCCTCCGGTTCTAAGTATCCTCAAACGTTGGACATCCCAGTTATCTGTTAAAGACGACCATGACATCTCAGCAGTTTCTGGCTCTAAGTCTTTCCGCTCGCGTTTTGATCGCATTCGCAGCGTCTATTTTCTGCTACATCGCGTTTAATCTCATCTATCGGCATGTTCTCGGCCGATGGAGAAATCGTCTTCCGTACCCTCCTGGACCTCCCTCTCCGAGCCTTCTTCTAGGCCACTATGGAAAACTACCGATGGAGAAGCCGTGGTTTGATTATATGGAAATGGGGAAGACATATGGTATGCCTGTATTACCTATTTCTTCCAACTAGTAGTATTGATACTTGATTGATTCTCTGTCAAAATTCGGTTGGTTCAGGCGAGTTGATATACTTCAGGAGTCTCTGGGACAACATACTCGTCATCAATTCTGCCCAAGCCACAGACGAGATTATGGAGAAACAGGCTCGGATCACATCTGATCGACCGTTTGGGAATGCCTTGGATAAGTTGTGAGCCCAGCCGCACTTACTATCAAATTCCACTATTACACGACGGAAAACTAACGAGGTTTTTTCTGTAACAGTACACGTTGGGACACGAACGTTGGTGAGTATATAATGAATGATAATAAATCGGAAGATTTCACTAGTGAATTCCACTTCGATTCCCCTTCAGTACATGTTTCTCTGGTCTTCTTGAATCAAGACCTTTAAATCACTCAGTCGCTCACTCATCCCACAGCTCTTTTAGTATATTCTGATACGTGGAGACACTCGAGAAGGATATTTCATCAAAATTTCAGATCTGAAGCTGCAGTAAAATATCAACCCATCCAAACTGAAAAAATCCACGAGTTTCTTCGGTCGTTGCTCGGGTTGTCAAAATCGCCAAGTTCCGACAAACAAGGTCATGGTGACGAGTTGATGAAGAATATATCAACGTACGTTACCTTCTTCCGAGTTATTTATCAACTAAGTTGAATCAATTCTCCTTTCTGACAAGCAATTCCGTACCAGTCTCTCCCAAGGAATCATGATGAAATCTATGTATGGTCTCGAAGTCCAATCCGCCGCTGACGAAGCCACTCCCCAAGCGGCTAGAGAAACTGTTGATCACATGGAGCTAACCCTTGTTCCGGGAGGAGCAGCCTATCGATCCATACCTTTTGCACATTTGTGGGCTTGGTTGGTTCCGAGTGGGTGGTCTGAGTTTGCGAGGGTTCAGAAACATATTAGGGAGACGATGACTAGTTTGAGAGAGGTACCGTTTGAGGAGGCTATGAAGAATTGGGTGGGTTTTTTTCTTTAGTTTTTTTTTCACCTTTTGAACTCAATTTTGTTTTATTTTTACTCCCCTTCGATTTAATTGTTTTTATTTTTGTCCCTGGGGTTACTCACACTTCATTCTGACTCCATATCATACCTTGTAGAAAGTAGGCGATCAGTCCTCATTGATTGGAGAGTTGATGATGCAGCATGAAACCCATGTAAGCCCGGCACAGGAAGTAGAGAGTATCAAGAATATGGCATCAAGTGCGGTAACTGGTGAGTTTTTATAGTACATACATATATTTCTTTTCAAAAGCTTTACCTATGTATTTGATCGCTTATATTTGTTTTTATGATTTTCAAATTAAAAACAGCTGCAGCAGATACGGTGTGTGGTGCTACATGTGTACTGACTCAAAATACTCACTTCTTTCCTCTTTTTCTTCCCCCTTTCTTCAACCAGACTGTATCAGCCACAGCAACATTTTTCCTCGCTCTCACTCTATATCCAGAAGTGCAATCCAAAGCCCAAGAAGAACTGGACAGAGTCCTTGGTCCAGGGAGGATTCCAAGTTTTAAGGATAGGCAAGATCTACCGTATGTGGAAGCAGTCTATAGGGAGGTTATGAGGTGGCATCCAGCTCTTCCCATGAGTCAGTATTCACTTTTTTTTTCTGAGAGAAGGCGGAAGATATTTCTTTTTTCGTTTTCAAATAATTATTCCTTTGCGAGTTGATACTTACTGTTTGCTAACACTCCTGTGATGTTTTTTGATTTTTTCTGCATTCTAATGGTTTCTTAACAGGTCTTCCTCATAAATCGACAGAGGATATAATTTATAAAGGGTATGTTATACCAAAAGGAACTATTTTGCATGTCAATGTGTGGTAAGTCATCTGCTTCACTCTATCATGACATGACAAGATGAACATTGGAACACTATGATATTTGTGAATTATGATAATGAAAACTTGCTTGGCTTTGATTCACTTAGGGCAATAAACCACAACCCTGATCGGTATAGTAATCCAGACAAGTTTATACCAGAGAGGTATCTCAATGAAGATGGGAGTTACAACGAAATGTATAGGAGTATTAATACAATTGATGCTTATGGGCATGGAAGGAGGTATGTTTTGATTCTATTTGACTTTACTTATTATGTGAATCATCACAACTTTCTGCGTCCTGTTTCTGACTTCTTAATGAAGGGTTTGTGTTGGGAGATATGTAGCTGATGCTACTCTTTGGCTTACAATGGCATCTGTCTTGGCCACCATGAGTGTTTCAAGAGTTGGCAGCAGAGAGAGAGGAGGATCTGAAGGCCTGGATATTGAGAAATATTATTCGAATTATGCATTGTCGTAAGTCGTTCAATGGTTGGGGGCATTTTTTTACATAATTCAAGCTGATAAAATGCCATTATCTTTTTTTTTGTTTGCATTGACTACTTACTCAAGTCACCTTCTCACAGTTCCGGAGTGTAAAGTTGAGCCTAGGTTCTCAAAAGATGAGTTTGAGATCGCGTTGGAGCAAGCAAAGGGGGGATATTAAATGGAATTTTTTTTGTTATCTTGATATCATAAATGAATATGCTTTTTCAGCTAAAATCCGTGATTCCGGAGACATGTCTTTGTTAGTGGCTTCAGGTAGGTATTATGAAGATAAGGAGTGTGGGCCAATGTTTGTGTGTAATAATAATGAGGCTACCGTTGGGCAGGGACTTGAAGTGAATCAGCTGTGCCCAGACCAAAGAAGTCCGAATCTTCCAGTCCTAACTACGTCGGTGACGGAATCGGGCTCAAAGTTTCATTGGGAGTCCGCGTCATTGTAAATGACTATCTTTGCAACAGTCGATTTACCAAGTCTGAGAAGACGGAGACCTTTCGCGCATTAGTCACAAAGATTGGTAGTAAAGATCTTGACAAACAAGATCACATCGGTACATACACCTCAGTGTACCGTCAGGACTACGTCTGGTTCAACCTGGTTCAAAGAGACTTATTGGTGACCGACCGAGGTAAGATTGTATGTAAAGACAAATCCTCCTTCCGGTCAGTCAGCCTCGTGATTAAAAAAAAGTGAAGAAGTATATATTAATGGGGGTACCGCGGATCGAACGCGGGACCTTCAGAAAGTGCACGTGTTACGTATTACTTCAGTCTGCTGCTCTCCCAGCTGAGCTATACCCCCGATGAAGCAAGAACTTCTTGAAGCAAAAAGGAAAAAGCGTGGCATTGGCACATTATATAACTTGATATGTGTTTGTGTCGTAAACAAATGACATATGTCATGCTCCTGGACCTGAGGCTTGTTTCGACTTTTCTTCTCTCATTTCCTTTCTCTTTTCTTTGTTTGTAGCCATGTCTTGTGCGTTCCACTTATTGTTTTCTGCAAAATGGAGGCTGATGGGATAAATACAGCCTCAATTGCGTTTCCTTCGGATTCTTCTTCGCAACCAGCAGTCCAGCCCGTTCCTCGACACCTTCCTTTCCGACGAATCTCGTTACCGGCACTCCCGCCACCCTCCTTGCAACACATGCATAGCAGACAATCCATAGCCAGCGTGGATGAACACCCTACCAATTCTTCAAACCCAATTCTCCCCAGCACTCCCACTAGGAGGCGAACCAAAGCCACCTCCATTCATCATCATCATCATCCTGCAGACGGGGTCGCCGACCCGTCCGAGCCCAAGCGTCGTAAAATCATCCAAGAATTCTACGTGACAGAAAAGGCCTACGTCGACGGTTTGGACCTCGTCTACAACCATTTCCTCACTCCCATCATCGCTTCACTCGAGACTCCGACCCCTCTTCTCTCCAGATCCCTCACAACCAGTGTCTTTTCTAATTTTATCGATATATGGAATCTACACAAGAGTTTTCTCGCTGCTCTAAAGGAAGTTCTGTATCCCGAAGGTACAACAGAAGGAGGCGAATTACCCAAACCTCTACCACCTCTTTCTCCCATCCTTTTATCCCATTTCCCTTATTTATCTCTCTACACCCCTTTCATAACCTCCTTCCCAACGACTCTATCAACTCTAGCTTCCCTAACAACACCTTCCTCTTCCTCTTCCTACGTTCCTCCTTCCGCATCTTCCTCTTCTTCTTCCTCCTCCTCTTCCTCCTCTTCCTCCCAACCCGTAGAATACTCTCCCTCGTTCCACACCTGGCTCACCATCCGCGAACGCCATCCTTCATGCAACCATCTCCGCCTCCGTGACTACCTCCTCACCGTCATCCAACGTACCCCACGTTACCTTCTCCTACTCAAAGACCTCTTAACCCACACTCCTCCTTCCCACCCCGAACACCCTCAACTCTCTTCCTCCTTCTCCCTTCTCTCTCGTATAACCCAATCTCTCAACACGAGTCTACATAAACATTCCCAAGTCCTAGGATTGTTAGCTTTACAGAGGAACACCCAAGGATTACCGTTTAGGATGGTCACACCTGGTAGGAGATGCGTGAAGAGAGGTAAATTGGTGATGGTGGAGAGGAGCGAACAGCCTAGAGAGAGAGAAGTGGTGGTGTTTAGTGATTTGGTGGTTTGGTTAGCTCCGATTGGGAGGGAGAAAACTGGGTTGAACAATGCACTTGGGGGGATGGTGGAAGGGTTGAGTGAATGGTTGAGTGGACTTTGGGGAGGTGAGGAGGAAGAGGAGGAAGAGGATTATTATTGGGGGAAGGGAAAGGAGAAGCAAGTGAGACAGGTTCAGGTGTTGAAGAGACCTCCGATGCAGAGGACGAGGAGTAAGAGTGATGCGGATGTGCAGGGGAGGATGGATGGAACTGATGGTGCAGGTGAAGGCGCAGGTACAGGTGATGTAACTAATACCACTGGTCCTGTATCGACGTCGAATCCGTCTACGCCGATCAAACCCGTGTCGTCTGCAGTTGCTGCTGTCGTAGCTGTTACGCCTGGATCTGGATCTGGGGCATCAACGCCTTCACCTACTCCTACACCTTACAAACGACCTCCTCGGACTTCTTTCACGTCTTCAATATTCTCTCGACCTTTATACGCACAAAGACATTCCATGGGCGCTTCTCTTCTCTCCGCTCACGCTAACAACAACTCCTCCACTTCCACTTCCTCCTCCTTCAACATGACATCGTCTACTACTACTACACCTACATCGTCTCCGTCGAAAGTAGCGAAAGCCAGTTCTGTCGTTAACAGCAAAGCCAAAGCTAAAGCCAAAGCCAAAGCGAAGGGTGGTAGTAGGGGGGGCCATTTTGGTGGTGGTGCTGGGATTATTAGGTCTAGGCATAATTCACATGTGGGACCTGGATCTGGAGGTGGATCTGGAGGTGGAGCTGGGAATGTTAATGACGGTGATGGTGGTGGTGGTATGGGAACGGTAGAGAAGTTTGTGTATAAGGGACATATAGAGCTTGTTGATTTGGAGGTGGTAGTGCCTACGTTGGTGGTTCCGGGGGCGGCGAGGAGAGGGGTGGGGAGACAGGTGGGGAGGCCGAGATCGCAGCTTGGGATAGTGGAAGATTCTGGGAATAACGGGAATAGGAACAGGAACAGGAACAATAACGATGATGGAACGAATATGGATTTGTCGAATCAAGACCTATCATCGTCATCGTCACTATCACCGCCGTCGTCTGCTCTAGAGACTTCTCTCACCACTACCAACGTCGATGTCGATGTCGATAACGATAACGATTCGTTCCTCCTCTCTGGTACACTTCGTTCATCACCTGACGCTTGTCGGTTAGATATTCTCTCTCCACTTTCGTCGTTCTCGTTGTATGCGACTAGTACGAAAGAGAGAGATGAATGGGTTGAGGTGATTAGGGAGACGAAGATGGGGAGGATGGAGGAGTTGGTTGGGGGGAGGGGGATGTGGGTTGATGATGATGGGAATGGGGAGAGGGGAGGGTGAGTTGTTTCTTTTTTTTTCCTTACAAAATATTCTTTTTCTTGCTGGAAGAGTAGAGATTTATGTATAGAACTAACTCATGTCTACAGCGATCCCAAATCCTCCAACCGACATTCCAATCCAAATTACCCAAACCCAAACTCGAATTCCAGACCCAACTCGACCCCGACATCGAACCGAACTTCGTCTGCGTCGTTTGGGAACTATTACTCTAATAATTCGAATTATAACGAATCTAGTGTTTCGGTTTATTCTAGTCCGGCTGGTTCAACTACCTTTGCGAATTTGGGTGGTACTGCTGGTTCGGTTCTGGGTGTAGGTGTAGGTGTGGGTGTAGGTGTAGGCGTAGGCGTAGGCGTGGATGCAGGAGGAGGAGGAGGAGGAGGAGTGGATGATCCTTTGGGTGATTCGACGCTTGGGAGGAGTGAGGGAGGAAGACATTTGAGGAGGAGGTTTGTTGCTGGGGCTGTGCCTTGGGGTGGGGAGGAGGAAGAAGAAGAAGAAGAAGAGCATGGAGAGGAGGAAGGTGGGGAAGAGGACGAGGAAGAGAGTGAGAGTGAGCTGGAGGTAGAACCGGAAGGTGAAGGTGAGGGAGAAGGTGAGGTGAAAGTGACGAAAGCTGGGTTCAAGTTGGGGAAGAGCAATAAAACCAAACTCAAGTCAACTACTAAGACGAAGGCAAACGTCAAGCCAGAAAAGGTTAAGGAGACCAAGTCCAAGACGAAGGAGAAAAAAGAGAAAGGGAAAGGCAAGAAGAACAAAGAACGTCGAGCGCTCGTTGAGCATTTCGTGCCTGCGATATGGATACCTGATGACAAAGTGGACGCGTGCATGAGATGTGGAAGAGCGTTTGGATGGGGATTTGGAGGGCCGTTTGGTTTTGGTGCAGGCAGGAGGAGACATCATTGTAGGCTTTGTGGGGGGTGTGTGTGTGCGGGGTGTAGTGAGAAGGTGAGTTGTTTTTGTTCTTTTTACTTTTTCTTCTTCGGCTTCGTCGTTTTTATGGTCTTTCTCGTTGATCTGCATGGTGGTGCTGCTTCTATATGATAATGGTACTAACTTGAAAACAAACATCTTCTCCTCTGGCATTGTCTACAGACGTTCTACATCACCGATATCACTGCCACAAACCCCGCTGCAACATCCAAACCTGCCAGAGCATGCAACGAATGTTTTGAATCCGTCTTTCATGTACTGGACCCTGAGCCGTTCGCTGAAACTGGCGAGGCATCTACTGCTTCTTCTTCTTCCGTTTCTATGGAAAGAGTGGACGAGGATGAGGAGGAGAAAGGGAACGACGAAGACACTATTCGTGCCAGACCTCGACCGAGTCGAAACGAGAGCAGTATGAGTAATTTGAGTGGTAGTGGTAGTAGACCTAGACCCAAGAGTGAAGGTGCCAACTCCTCTATGTCGGTACCAGGGGTGTTTGGTGGGGACCTTTCTCAGTTACCGTCGCTCCCGATAACAACGAACGCGAGTTTGACAACTGCACCAGCGACTGTACCTGCGCTTCTCGAGTCTCAAGTCCATTCTCAAGGTTCTGGATCGAGTACTTTGGCCTCGAGCACTGGTACGGGATCAGGGTCAGTACCGACGATGGGGTCTTTGGGTAACGCAACTACCGATACGTTTTCCTCTCCGTCGTCTTCACCGACGAAGAGACCAAACGCGAACGCGAACGTGAAAGCGAAGGTTATTACTCCCAGTTTTAACACGGGAATAACGCCTGCGACGTCATCGTCAAACGTGACTGCCAATACCGAGTCTATTCTTCGTACGTACGCGGACACGATCACTTCCATGACCACTTCTCTTTTGGCGATATCGAGTCCGGTGGTACCGCCTCCTGGAAATGGTCATGGTCATAGGTCTGGAGCAAGACCTTCGTCGTCGGCAGCAGATCTTTTTGCTCCTGGAGGAGGAAGAGGAAGAGGAGGAGGAGTAGGAGGAGGGGGAGAGGAAAGAGAGGAACTGTTTTTGAATGGGATTTGGAAGAAGAGAGGACAGAGGAGGACGATGAGTAGTGCTGAAGCATTGATGGCGATTGATACTACGCCTTTGCCAGTGACGAAAGGGAAGAGGATGAGTTTCGGTGGAGGTAGTGGGGAGAATAAGAAATTTAAGGGGAAGAAGAGGGCTAGTGAGAGTGGTGCTGAGAGGTTGGGTAGACAGGTGGATTTGGATGACTCAGGTGGAGAGGAAAGAGATGTGGAAGGTGTGGAAGAAGGATTCGAGAGTGGGTTGAGGGAAAGCGTAAATCAAGGGTTGGTTGGTGTTGGTGGAATGG